CGCCACAGCATTTCACATTGGACGGAAAGGGTATTCCTTTAGGGAGAACACTTCTTGTTTGTGATTGGACAGAGCCTGCTGTGATTAGTTGTTTTTGCTGCCAGTCAAGAAATGATGCTTCGTGATTGGTCAGCACCCGACAGCGCAAAATGTCCCAACACATCAGCCGTTAGCTGTTAGCAGTTAGCACACAGAGCTCACAGCTCCTCATATCTGTTCAGAAACTGGACAAAAGTTAAACATGTACAAACCACAGACTGTCTATGTCAGGGGTACTCAAATACAAATCTTAAAGGTCCAAAATAAATGTTTCAATAAGACAAAGGTCCGTTTATCACGGTCATTCAAACTTTTAAACTATTACAACAAGATTCTTAACACGAGGTTGCAAAAACAAAAATAATCTGTATGCAGCAGTTTTCATTGTTATTGTGCTTGACCCCTCAGAGTCGCAGTGTAAGAGCTGCACAGTTATGAATAAAGGCAGCTGCACCCTCTTTCATTCAGCATTCCCATTATTGCTTTATATATGTCTTGCCCCCTTGTGTGTCCACTGAGGTTCGTCAGGCCCAACACATCTTCAACAAACTCCCCCTTTGCCTCATCATAAAAACTCACAAACACCAGCAACTGAGCATTGTCAGTGGTGTCAGTGGACTCACCCACAGCTAAGGAAATGCACTGCATTTTTTATTCCATCACAAAGCTGATGAATCAAATCACCAGCCAGTATTTATGTTCTTCTGGTTGCTGTGCAATCTGAGAGGGGGATTTGCTTGATTTGACCTGTTATTTCCTCTTTTTGTTTGCCTTCAACATGGTCTCCATCACTTCAGTCATGCATTCTTTTATACTGCAGTTATTATCCAGTGGAGAGTCCTTACCTACTGGCCTAGTTCAATCAAAGTGGTTACTTTTGTTTGGCTGGGCAGTGTAGTTTTACACACCGTCTTATTTGACTTTCTCAGGACTTAAAACAGTTTTTTGGGGGCAGACCCCCTCAAAGAAAAAAATATATTTACACACGTAAGGTCATCATCTTAATAGTTGTGTATGCTCATCCGTGAGCAGAGCATCAAGTTGGCATGTCTATTACAGCTGAATGCGGTGATTACCATCTTGTTCAGCAAAACGCCTCACAAACGTATTAAGATCAACAGCTTTAGTACGTTTTGATTCAATGCTGAGTACAGCCAAACTGACAGTCTCTTCTCTGTCATTGTAGACCGCAAATACCTCATTCCTTCAGCGCTTGGGTCCGAATGCTTCTCGTTTTGCGCCGTCCAGTTCAAAATGAAATCGCCGCCAATCGTATGTCCACGCTCGCGCCAGGACCGGGGGAGGGGTTACATGACGTGCATCTTGTGCTGCATTCACTTGCACTCGGACATTAGAGACTTTCTCTCATAAATGTCCGATGAGCCACAACTTTTCTTTCAAAACAAAGCTGCCAGCTGGGGTGGCAAGGCTATTGTTAGGGTGTCAGTTGCCACCCCGTTAGGTGAAACTAGGCTACTAGCTACAGTACAGATGGAACTAGATGAGCTGTTAACTCTCGCTCTGAATTTATTTATTTTAAATTCTCGCTCTGACTTAGACAGGTTGAAAGAGACACACACATTTTTCCCACCCGCATTCCGCGAAGACCCGCCCTACTGTGCCTCTGATTCGCAGATTGTTTGGGGGAAAAAAACGCTGACTGGATGCTGAATGTGATTGGACCAAAGCGTTGACACACACAGGTGGAACACAGTGGAACAGTCAGACATGCAGAGCGCTGTTTGCAGTGGACATAGCGGAGAATTTTGACTCGTTGCGAATGCGTTGTGGCGATGTCTCACATATAATACAGAAAGATAATACATATGAAAAGTATAATTTGCTCAGAGTCCGGAGACAGTGGTGGTTCGGTCCGGATCCGGACCGGAGTCCGTAGTTTGAGGATGCCTGGTCTATGTCATGGCAAATACAGTCGCTGCTTTATTTATGTCTGTATGACGTTGTTGTGAGTGGACGGAGCAGGTTAGTTTAGCAACTTTAGCCTGATTGATCCGCCCCCTCTCCAGCACGTCGTGTTTGAATGACAGGAGTAAACATTTCATTTCATTTCAAACCTTTATTTATACAGATAAATCCCATTGAGATCATTGATCTCTTTTTCAAGGGAGACCACAGCTGACAGCCGCGATGAAACTCGAGCGATTAGAGTGATGCGAAAAAAACATGAATTAATGCTTTATTAATTCATGGTTTTTAAGGGGCTTAGTTATCTCCATGTACATGCTAGACTAACCAATATTCGCATCGCTCTAATCGCTCGAGTTTCACCGCGGCTGTCAGCTGTGTTTACTCCTGTAATTTACTTTGCTAGCACTTTTGAATGCAGGACTTTTATTCCTACACTCTGGTACTTCTACTTTTACTCAAGTACTGTACATGATCTGAGTACTTCCTCCACCTCTGCAGTCAATGCATCAGAGGAAGTACAACTAAGTGTATTAAAGGCTATTTGAAACATTAACATTATCAGTGCAGGGATTGACGTATTGACAATAAAACGAAGCTCACAAATATAGTAATACTGCACAGTTCATTCAAAGGTGTTGTACCTGAAGAAGAATCAGAAGCCATTACTGTCATCAGTCTTAGTTCCCGCCTTTGTTTCCCTTATTTATTTTTTGTGTATTTCGCGAAGGTCGTCTCAGCTTCACCCGTCTGTTGGAGTTCGTTCGCAGGTGTCGCGAGTTGTTTTCTCCTTTTTATCTGCAGTGCACCCCCCACACAGCCCCGGGAGCCCCCCACCTCAATATGAACATGTTTGTATCCTATTATCCCGATATTGTACATTTAGTCGCCCAAGTAAAATGAGTTTAAAGTCTGAACTCATGGAATCTCCATAAGCAACATTAATGCATAACCGACTGAATGTCAGTTTAATCGGCTTCCTCCAATCAGAGACAAGCTGGAGTGACGTCACTTTCACCTATAGATGAGAGTAACAAATGCGTCACTTCCGGGCAAAAATAACGGCTCCGCCCACTTTTGGGGGAAAACAACGCTGTCAGTTGAACGGCGGTCAATACAAATTCTGAAGTTTTTGCCAATCCGATCAGAAATGTAAGAAAACCGGAGACTTTTGGATCTTCAAAGAGCCCGATTCCAATGGCCAGACAGGCAAACAATTGCATTAAGCCATTAGAAATCGACGATCGGGCTCGATATATGGTTAAATATAGCAGTAGGCTATCGATTTTCATAGATGAGAGTAACATCTACGTCACTTTACGGCCCCGCCCACTTTTGGTGAAAACAACGCTGTCATTTGAATGGCGATCGAGCCTGAAGCCACAGAGCTCTTCTGCTACTGTCCTTTGTTCTTAGAGGAAATTCAGAAACACTGAACTCTTGATTATTTTTTATGTTTGAGGTGCAATAAACGACACAGCAGCTTTTTGGCATGTTAAAACTATTATTTTCCGCCTCGCTCATGAGAGTAACAGCTGGAGAAATTACAGGCTCGCCTACTGATTTTAATTTAACCATATATCGAGACGGATTGTCGATTTCCAATGATCGAATGTAATTGTTTGCCTGACTGGCCATCGTAATCGAGCTCTTTGAAGATCCAAAAATCCACGGTTTTCAAAAAAATGTGATCGGATTGGCAAAAACTTCAGAATTTGTATTGACCGCCATTCAAATGACAGCGTTGTTTTCCCCAAAAAGTGGGCGGGGCCGTAATTTTTTTCCCGGAAGTGACGTAGGTGTTACTCTCATCTATGCTCAGGTGTGCTTTAATGGTGGCTCAGAAGAAATAAGAATGCAACCAAAACCACATTTGAATTTGAAATATTAACCTTTTTTGTACCCGCGTACCCCTAATGTCAACATGTTATGTGTGTAAATGTATGATGTTCATGTCAACATGTTATGTGTGTAAATGTATGATGTTCATTTATTTTATATTTATATATATAATTATTTTAATCAAATGTTGGCTCAGCTTGTACACAAAGAAGGAGCACATTTTTTTAATAATGGAAATGCCATATTGTGTGTTTTTGCCCCAAAAAGACTTTCATTAATTTAGTTTAGGACATATGTGAAGGTTAATCTTGTAGGTATAAATAACAGATACCATCTTGTACCTAGCAGGCTACGAGATTCATTTAGATTTTGTCCAACAAATAATTGATTTCCACCTTTCCCTTCAGGGCGTCCTGAATATAATCTATTATATTTTTCAACTTACTTTTCATACTGAAATGTGTTAAAAAGAAACACAAAACACCCAAGATGCCAACATATATTAAAGTAGTGTGGGAAAAAACTTCCTTCTAGAGGGCATGTAACGGAGGTGATCTTTGGGGCCATAGATCTCGGCCTCCGTTACGAATTGTGTAGCTTTGTTGGTGGCGAAATGTATGTAGCGTGTGCATCTATTGATTGTGTGCACCTGGTCCTGGTGCCCTGTGTTGTCTCCTCCCTCCCCCCCCCCCCCACCTGTGTCTAATTGCTGATTAGGGTGAGTGTGTATTTAGGCTCTGTTTCCCTGTCTGTTAGGGGGCTGGTAGTGTGCGTGAGATCCTTGTGGTGGCTGGTGACTGTGTTCACGTGGGCAGCAGATTGAGGCTGTGTCATGTTTATGATGTAATAAATGCCCACACCAGGTTATATTTTTGGACGTTTTGCCTCTGCCTCCTTGCTTGGTCGGGCCGCTCAATTGTCAGCGTCACAGGGCACTTTGGGATTTTACCCTTTGCAGACCATTTACATGCACAAAAACCCATATAACACACTACAGGAAAGGGAAATCCCCAAGAAGTATAATTGGGCCCCTTAACTCAGAGGATATACAATTATTACAATGTTTTTGTCATGCCTTAAGGTACACTGCCCCCTAGAGGTAAACCAATAAAAGTCAATTTCACAACCTTCCATAACTTTATTCATTATCTCAACATTTTTTTACAGATTCTTCTCAAATATGACAAATAACCCCCCCCCCCCCCTTAATAAAGACTAATTGGAATATCTTTTAGTTAATAGTCAGTGGCCTTTTCATCTTTCAGGAACACAACTGAGAGCCGATGAATTCAATACAGAAGAATTATTGGGGACCATCATTTTCACAGTGCATTACAAAGCTCAGCGGTAAAACAAGGAGCTTATGATATTCTGTCGTAGCTCTCTACGGTATGTGGATGTCAGTCTTCTTGAAATTAAGGAAGCTCTAAAAAAAAAAAAAAAACACTTCATTTGAAAAAACAAACACTTCTGAGAGGCATTCCCCAGCACACAAACTAAGTAATCATTCACATCTGATTAGACATTATGTTAATAAATTAATCAACTATCTGTTATAGCGCCCTACCAACCCACCCACCCACAGAAAAAAACAAGATTCTCTATTCAAACCCAAATTTCCAGCATCTATCGACCACCGCTTTCCTGAGCTGAAACGGACAAAAAGTCGACCTTGCGTCACGCTAAACAACATATAAGAGGTGGAGTGCATGGCAGTAACTCGTGTTTTCTTTTTTAAATATATATAACATGACTGACAATGGTATGAAGCTTGTCCACGTCTTTGGCTGTCTTTTGATGATAGTTAACAGTTACACAATCCCATGTTTGTGATGGAATTATTTAAGTCGATTGAGTTTATTGACAACGGGGTCAAATAAGGGTCAATAAGCATAATTAGAGTAAATTAAATTTGAAAATGAATACAAGGGTTTATTTCTAGATGTAGATCTCACAATCATTTCACAAGCTCTAAATTATAATGACCTTTTTTGTCCTATAAAAAGGTAATATTAAAGTGGACAGTTTAAATATCCTCTTTGTCACCGCAGTGTGTAAATACCCCTGTGTTTCATCTGAATTGACCCACACGCTGATAGGTGACACACGTGACCATCCCTGGTGTCCTAAACTCTGTTAAGACTGATATCAAAAGCATTCAAGTGCTTCAAAACATAAGCAAATGATTTTCGTTGACCTAGATAAATTACAAAGGTATAAAAATGGCTCATATTCTATCACAAATATTAACAATTTTCTTTAGACAATGAGTGCTGTGGAAACAATGGAGGAAAACAACCTGTAAAACTTCAGTCCAGTGAATCTGATGCGCGTCGAGTGGTTTGTGTTGGTCTTCACACAGGGTCAAATCACATCTTTAGCGCACCCAATATTTCTCTAGCATCCTGGGGCATTTATCTTGTGAACTGGGATCAACTGGGAGCCAACCCTACGTAAACAAGTGGAATATTTAGTGGGCAAAGATGTGGTCTGAGGTGAGCCGTGGTTGGGTCCTTATGTGCGCCGGGCCTTCTGTCTCTTGGCCTGACGTTTGGCTTCGTCCAGAGCAGCGTTGTCCGCGCTGACCTGGGACATGCTCCTCACTCCCTGGATACGGTTCACCAGCTGTAGCAGGAGGGGGATTACCTGCAACAGGAGAGCAAAACATGTTCTTACTTGAAAAATGTAAAACGCACAGTAAGTATTTTTTTGTAATGCAGTCTTCTGGTTAGGATGACTTCAGTTTATCGTTCAGGTTTTCTACCGGAAGCCGTATTGTTCGCAGAGGTCTCCTCTCCAAAACAAACAGACTCAGCTTTTGAATATGGTAAAACATATGAATAAAGCAGTGTCAACTTAGAAATCAGTGTTTCTCCCATGCGGTTTGGTGGACTACGAATGTTTGGTAAGCTTGTTTTTCTGAAAACTTAAGATCAAGATGATTGAAATATGTTATCATGTTAAATTGTATTGTTAAGAAAGACCAAGCACATTGTCTCTGGAGTTGAAGTATGGGTTACATTTTTTATCGTATACCTCAATATCAGTATTGCGACAATAGGGTTGACAATTGGTGCTTTCATACATTTATAAAACAAAAATCATTTGATTGTAGACCGAGGAATATCGACTATAAAACCACAAAGCGATATATGAGTTATATGGCCCCGCCCTAATGCAGGAGGAGGCAGGGGCGGACTGGCCATCTGTAGAATCTGGAGAATCACAGAACGGCCGGTCGTCAAGGGCCGTTGACGGCCGGCTCGGTTTTCTGACAGCCGGCACCGTCTTTAATTTTTTATGTCTTTAAACAGCATCATGGAAGTTGCGCTGACAAGCGACAGGTCCACTGTTTCCCCGCAGCGAGGCTCCCCCCTCCGCCCTGTTAACAGTTCACTAGCACCCTGCCCCTGGGAGGAGGTGAAGAGGAATAAGTACCTTCTCGTGGTTGTATGCTGCCAACAGGAGCAGCAGGGTGAGGGGCAAAGCGATGTACGAGCCCTGGGCTATATCCTGGTCAGGCACTTTACGCTGTGGGGAAGCACAAACACACAATCTGAGATGAGACAACTACAAGAGAAACTGTGACACCATATAAGGGTCGACGAAGGAGAAAACTAATTAAATGAAGGGGAGGAGGGGGAATATTCTGAGTAAAAGCTTGGAATAAAGTTGGTTATTCAAATCTCTGAAAGTAAAGTTGTTTTTTACAAGAAGGAACAACATATATTTGTTATTCATCTCCAAAAAAACTTGTCTTTTATGATTAATGAATCTTATCCCTAAATTGTTAAGTATTTTCTCTGAATATTACCCCCCAGGACTATATCTCACTACTAGTCAGGTATCCGGTAGTTAAAAACTGGATATTTTTACACAACAAAAAACCCTCGTTTAAATATTCTGCAAGTTAAAAATATCTCCTTACAGTGGGGTTGAAGGTGAGTGTGATGTGCTTGTGGTAACCATTGGAGGTGAAGGTGACCTGAGGCAGAGTGAAGTCAAACTGGAAGCGGGACAGCGTGGAGTGCAGTATCAGCACGTAGCTCTGTGGAGGAGGAGAGAGGAGACTTTGTAACAAACAATAACAACAACAGCAGCAGCATGTCCTCGGTCTATTCAGTTCAGACAAATATACAAACATGTCAACATTAAGAAGACTTAGAAGACTTAAGAAAAATCGGATTTGAGGTTTTAGCACCATAAAACGATCTTGAAAATGTTCATGATTAGATCCAGGGTATATGCAGGAATCCTGAAGTCAAATTGAATACCCTTTAAGACCTTTTTTAAGACCCTTTCCATACATTTTAAGACCTCATCGCAACTTCGAGTTCTAACCGGTTACATTGGCGACACACTTTACCTCACATTTACTATATTGATTGTAAGATAGCACAACTAAACAGAGTGCAGACAGACTACTGAAGCCTCCTCTCCACATGAACTTCAACCTCTCTGTGAAGGTCAGGTTTAATGCAGTATGCTGCTTTGTTGCTTCTGTACTCTGTGCTCTTTCATTCCAGTAAAACTCCTCAGAAACCATTAGAAACCAGTATTTGACCAATAAACAAAACAATTGACAAAACTTTGAACTATGAAATATATTAAACTTTGGTGAGCTTCAGCGGGGTAATGCCATATCGGAGCTCCCTCACAAATACCCAGGGGTTAAATTGGGCTGGGGCTGTCCGGGGCTAAGCCCGGCACATAGGACGATGCTCTGACGTCATCACCCTCACACATTTGTCATATGTTTACAAAAAACGATATATATGTTAAGACTTTTCTCGTTCTTAATATAGACTATATTTAGGGTCGATATGTGTTGACCTTACTTTAAAATAGCAGATCTCTGTGACCGGATATAGTTTGGCTTAGACCCCGGCCCCACGAGGACGCATACAGTAAAACGCAAAAAGTCTTCCGTTCACACGCATTCGATTCATTAACGTGTCCGTTCACACTAGACCGCTGGAAATGCTGGAAACGCTGTAGTACATATGCCAGGCCTGTAAGTGGCGCTGCTGCCGCCACAAAATACACCAAAAGCAGCGAAGAAGACCCCGGATCATGGTTGTCATGGTTGCCCTTCTGTTTATTCTCCGCGGTGGATGGTGTGTTCTCCTGCTGTATATCTCTCAGGTAGTCCACCAGCAGATAAACCCCCCCCCACAGAGCGGAGCAAGGCAACGAAACTTAAAATAAGAAGCAGCATTTTATGGCACGCTATGCATGGGGCCACCTTGAGGGGGTTTCCCGACATGTTGTTTCAGTAAATTAAAGGGTGTTTCATGTTGTCGTTGCTGTGGACCTTCTTAATACCTTGGAAAATGCCGTTTAATACTTTTTAATAGCCTTAATTTTCGCTAAATAGATTTATCAACTTTTAATACTTTTTAAGACCCCGCGGACACCCTGAGATCGTTTTTCAATATAGTTATTCTTGAAGCCAACACTGTTGCAGTTGTATAACCATGCGTTAATACATTCGGAGTCACAACCCCTGTGAGATGACTGGTTTGACTATCAGAATTTGATCATTTTGCTCCAATAAGGTTTTGAATAGTCTATGAGAGGAGCACTGTTAAATGTATCCCCAATCCAATTAGCATAGGGCTAACTGGAAGTAAGCCGACTAGGTTGGCTGAAGTCTCTTCTTTGGATTTGGCAGAATTGACGATTCTGCTAAATTATGAAATAATTTTGGCCAACAGAAAGTGTTACACATTCATTGTTTTTTGTCTTCTTTATATTGTATTCATTTACCCTGTATGCTAAATGTTTGCACCCCGATGCTGCATAACTAAGTGCCCCACTAGGGACAAATTAAGTTATTTGTTTTTTCAGGGTTCAGTCCTAAGAAGAATAATATTAAAACTGTAAATTAAGCACTGTAATGTACTACAAACATTGATCCTGCCCTAATTTGACCTAAGAGCAGAAACACAAGCATACCTCTCCATCTCTGTCCAGCGGAGGGAAGTTGAAGAAGAGGGACTGTCCCAGAGAGATGCTGTTGATCGGGTTGTCCATGTTGTCACTCTTGTAAAGCTTCACCTGGATAAAGAGAATGGGGGTAAAAAAGAAAAACGTCAAGAACTGTAACTGCACATTCCTGCCGTATGAGCCTTGGAGGGGAGTTGCCGATATGTTCAATAAAAATTACCAAAATGCATTAGCCGCTTTCACACCAAGTACTTTGCCGTACTTAGTGCCCAGCACTTAGTGCCCAGCACTTAGTACCCCCATGGAACTAAAGAGCACCGGAATAAGTTCCCTGAGGGAAGATTATGCAAATGAAGCCGCTGACGTCACTTCTTCTTCTTCTGCTTTGGGTTTACTGGCAGGCCGCAAACCACTTCACGGCGTATACTGCCACCCGAAGTCCCCGACCGGAAGTCACCGGAGTTGGGGACTGGCTTCAGTAGAAGTTGCTGGGAGTCCCAGCAGCTTCTACTGAAGCCTTCGGAGTAAATCGTCTCCACCGTTCCAATGTTTTTTTTGTGTTGCCATAAGTTATTCTCTCTCTGTTGGTGCGCGGGGCTAATGCTAATAATGCTAAAGCCAGGAAATACAATGGCGGCTTCACAAAACTTTTCAGAGTTTTACAGGGCGTGGTTTGTAATTCGCCCAGCCAATAGAAATTGGTACTTTTTTCTCCCCAGGAGAGTACCACCTCTCGAGCAGGCACTACAAATGGGGGTAAAAGTTCTCTGAACTAAGTTCTCTTTTTGGTGTGAACGCAAAATTCCAGGCACTGTCGGAACTAAACGGGAAAAAGTACAGGTAAAAGTACTCCGGTGTGAAAGCGCCTATTGGGAATATAAGCCCAGCAGTCCTACCGATAGTGTTGCGAGGTGTTCAGGGGACGTGTGGACGTTTCCACTGAGGTCAAACTGATTGATTTGTCTGAAGGCGATGATGTTGACTCCTTCAATGTCATTGCTGCCGACCTGAGGGGGAAACAGAGCTTAGATCAGATACAACCTTAGAAAATGACAAATGTTAACTGTGGATAAAACTTTGCACAAGTCACAAGGTTTGATAATAATAGAGAATTAAATGGAACTAAGGCATTTCCTGGCTTGCCAGAGCGATTACGGAGCCTGAACTTCTGACAAACTAAAATTATAAAGAGAGGTTTAAACTTGCAGCGGGTTTACTGCAAGAAACACAAAAATAAAGCCCCATGTTTTCCACTCAGTTTAAAGTACAACTAATCCAAAAAAATTCAGTTTATTTCAACTACCCTAAAGCCGTCAGTTATTGCAAGAACACAAAACATTATTTTTCCATGAATCAGTGATTCTAAACATTTAAAAACGTACAAAAAAACTATTTGCAGCTGTTAATGAGCTCCTGAACATCACCAATGACCCATTATTGTATCCTGACCAGATTATTTCTACTGTGTACCTTGGGATGGTAAATACAAATGATTGCTGCAGTGCTCACATTTCTTTGTTGTTAAATCTGGGAGTATTACAAACAGTTGTGCTTCCAAGCCTTTAACACGTTAGCCTCTCACCTCTACTGCTCTGTATTGTGGTAAGGCCCTCTCTATGTGGTCGTTGCCTTCAGCTCGCAGCTGAATGAGATATTTGCAACCCGGCTGAAAGAAAAAAAACATTATAGTTAGAACAATAGCGTCTGTACAGCATTTCAGACATTAAATCAGTCAGTTATACCTGCTCAAATGGGGCATACACATTGTGTTAACAAGATTAGCTCACTTTTTGAGAACCTAAGTGTGTTCATTTCGTACTCACCAGCAGACCCCTGAGTCTGAAGCGCCCCTCTTGATCGGTGACGGTGTCCTCGCTGTAGATGCTACAGTCTGCCTGTCCCACCGCCTCCACGGCAACGTCCCTCTCTGCGTCCCCGCTCAGAGACTGCACGGCTCCGTAGCAGCTGAGGACGTATAAACACTCATCAGACTTATGCTGTGGACATGTTAGGCCCCTATTATAAACAGCATCGAGGCACATGTGCATACCTGTAAGCGGTCTTGATGCCAGTGATATCGATACTGAGGTTCTGACCCTCCTCCACTGCGATCATCTGAGACGCCGGCTCAAAGCGGAACTCCTTCATCATGGGCTTGAAGTAGTACTGACCGGGACTCTGAGGAGAGGGAAGCAGAAAAATAAACACATTAGATTGAGATCCCGTCAACTAGCAGACTGTGAGAGCAGATTAACACACTGCTGGATCCCTACCAGGTTATTGAAGGTGAGCAGGCCGGTGTCCTGAGTCAGCAGGTTGGAGCGAAACTGTCCCCCACTCAGAGACAGGAGGACACCTGAAAGGGGAATACCGTCCTCTGATCTGATCTGCAGCACAGAGGGAAGGAGAGGACAGGTTATAGATCTCACGTCAATTAACTAACTCATCGATTTCTTCAGCACTTTATATTTATACCATATGAGTTTAAATGAATGATAGAAATTGGACATTTTTGGAATTCTAGAAGTTTTAGATGTGGTTGACCTAGTCTTAAAAACCAATACATCGGTTCAAAGTCAATGCCAAATTTGTCGTAACTGGTAGGTACAGTTTTTTTTTTCTCAGCATCCTACCGTAGGTAACTAATGGTTTTCCATTGACACGGTAAAATCCCAAAAGAAAATAAGCCAATTACAAAGGACAACAAAATCTTTTATTTAAGCTTACAGATGATGTTACAGCAATACAAAAATAGATATTAGAGAGGGAATTACAGCCTGTTGAACCTCCTAACAAAAGAATAACAATATTCAAACGTATCTAAAGAGTGTATGTTGAAGTACATTGGATTCACTGTCGTCTTTACAATTGTGAAATATAAATACAATTAAAATGTACCTTGAAGGTGACTCCAGCCAGAGCGAACGCCTTGAAGTCTCCCACGGTCCCCTCCACAGGACTCAGGACGAAGCCTTCTTTGCTGGCACTGATGTCGTACTGCCGGTCGCTGTGGAGCGGACCCACACTGAGGAGAGAGGGGAGCACAGCGCTGGTTAGGACTGCAGGCCTAGGATATATTCTATAAGGTCACAATACTTCAAGGCCATCGATGCCACTTAGTTTACGGACATAACTGATACTCTTTTATTAGCCATGATTTTGTACTGGTTTTTTCTCGTTTCATTATTTTTTTTACCCGCTATTGAACTTTAGCTGTAACACTGTACATTTCCCCGCAGTGGGACTAATAAAGGATTTCTGATTAAGGTTGAACAGTAGTAATGCATCGTTTGGTTCTCAGACCTGTATGCTCCCATCTCATTGGTGCCCACAGTAATGAGCGGTGCAGCGGCTCCTCTCTCAGTGATGGAGATCTCCACACCCTGCAGCTCTGGAGACACTTTGCCCGCCAGGAAGAGCCCGGCTCGCCCTGCGATGTCCACCAGACGACCCGGACACGACTCTGTGGAGGGAGAGGAAGTCCCATTTAGGTATTACAGAATTTGGGATGTTATTCATCGGTTTTCCAACTGATGAGTTACAGTTAAAGTAACTTTAAGTACTTAAGAAGCAGCTACATACAGACACATATAGACAGTGGATTCACATTGTGTGTGTGTGTGTGTGTGTGTGTGTGTGTGTGTGTGTGTGTGTGTGTGTGTGTGTGTGTGTGTGTGTGTGTGTGTGTGTGTGTGTGTGTGTGTGTGTGTGTGTGTGTGTGTCCTTACCTCCGGTAATGGTGGCCTCTACCTCTGGAGGATAGAACAGCAGTTCCTTGGATGAGGGAGTCACTGTGATCTTTTCTCCAGCCCTGCACAGATCAACAGAATATATAAACTCACTGCATCAACGCTTCACATTAGATTCCTGCCTGACCAATCGCAATAGCTCATGTGCCATCTACTATTTGCCAGAATACGAAGAGTGGTGCATAGATTACGTATTAACCCCAAAGTTAGCATTGCAAGGGCTCCCTCGACAAAAAGCAATGGGATTTTCCATTAACTTTTGGAGTGTTGCAAAAAATAAGATCTGTGGCAAACACACGTTTATGATACTTGCATGTTCCTTCAGCAGGATAATGTCCACATATTGATACAACTTTAATGATTTTTTAAGCGTAAATGAAATCTCAAGAAGTATAAAGCAAACATTAGCCTATAAAATATTCAAATGCTCAACGTTTTACTGTGATATCTTGTTTCAACAGTTACTTTGTTATTGTTTGTATTATTATTTGTATTCTATTTTATCCTTATTTTTGACCTTGTGTGAATCCTGTTTTTCACTCTGACCCTGTTGCTGCTATAAACGCCTGAACATCCCCACAGGTATAAATGAGGAGTTCTTTTCCAAAACGCTATAAACGCCAAATTGAAAAAAATTGAGTTTGTCGTGCCATTTTGCTGTGTACTGAACCTATTCACTGCTCTATCAACGTTTCATGCCAAATCGCTATATATCCTTGTTTAACATGTACGGCAAGATGCAGTTCCTTTCCAAACCGCGATAAACGCCGAACCTATTTTGAGCCTAAACGCGATATATCCTCTCTACCAATCAGAATTCGGTGAGCGTTCTATGCACTCCAACATGGCGGCGCCCTGAGTCGAGGTTTGTTTATGTTCATTCAGTCTTCGAAATATGTCTTTAAACTGTTGTAACACCTTTGATGGCCTGGATGAGCCAGTGAGACCTACATCTGGGGGTAGAAAACGTCGACTGGATAAAGAAAACCACAAAAAACAACAACAAAGGAAGGTTCGTCACTCGGGTGGCGCGTTAATACCGACTGTGGGATGTCAACACAAAGCTGCTGCGAAAGGTTTCTGTCAGGCCGAGAAGCTGTCACCAGACGACCTGATGATGAACTTCAAACATTTCTATGAAAAACCAAACAAGGTTGACCAGGACCGGGCTATACTTCATCTCCTGGACATCACGCAAGTGAAAAGGAAGCGTCCGAAAGTTCAAGACGTAAACAAACAAAAAGACCGGAACGTATCTGTAAAGTTCAATCTCCTGTGCAACAGTCACCCAGAGAAGGTTCCCGTTTGCAAGGCGACCTTCATTAAAGTGTTTGTTGAGTACAACTTTCGTTTCAGGCCTGCTAAGTGGCCTGCTGGCCTGAGGATTTTACGTTACGTGTATTGTTGTTGTTGTTAGCATCTGGTGCTAGCTAGCGGCGCTAATGGATATAATGAGCTGTCAACAAGGTGGAGAAGAGTCCTCTCCTGTCAGACTGAGAGACTGATAACTACAGCTCAGGTGAGGTAAAGGACTCTGAGTGTTTAGATAGTTAACTTAGTCTAAGTTATCTCAGTGGGTCTTAAACGGTTTGGTCACCATTTATGTAAACACATATTTCCATTTGAGGAGGAGTGATTAGTAAAATATGCATGAATAATAAAAAATAAAAACGTTAACTAGGTGAAAAAAGGTAAGATAAACTTTAAAAACTTGTTGAGAGCTAAAACTAGTCTTTGCTGCTGCCTCAAAGAGGAGCAGGGGGGAGAGGAGGGAGACAGGAGAGGCTGGTTCAGGAGCACAGACACACTCACAACTATAAATGAACCAAAAACAAATAAATAAACAAGTTTCAATGTTTTTTCATATTGGATATGGTATGTTATTGGTTATGGCCATGATTTTATGATTATTTAAATGTATACAGTTCTGTTTCATATGGGTGTAGTCTCTTTATTTCCCCCTCAAAATGCACCAGATTCATGCATTTAAGTCCAACATTTACACATTGTGTGTGTGTGTATGAATATCGTTATCATTACTTTTTACAGGTTCAACACTTTACTGAATGCCTTATTGAATGTATTACTGAATTAGTTGCCTATTGAATATCGTTATCATTACTATCATTACTTTTTACAGGTTCGGCACTGAATGACTATTGGCCTAAATGTGTTACTAAATTATTTGAATGTATTTTTAACATTGTTGTAATAGTGGTATTTGTATGTGTTATATATTGTTATAAATTGGACAATATTGAAATGTGAAATTGCAAATATTTATTTTATTTTACTATTTAGTTTATGTTACTATTTATTTTATTTGGGTTTTATTTATTTCATGTATTTGCACTTATTTGATTTATATTCATTTATAGTATGAGTCCCTTATCATATGTTGCATGTTCTCGTTTAAAAAAAAAAAAAGACATAAACCATCAATTAAAAAAAATGCATGGATTTATAGCGTTTTGAAAAAATAAAAAACTTTGATTTAATCAAAAATATTGTTGTTTGATTTAATAATCATTGTTCAATATGTTCAGACTGAGCCAACAAACCATTTTAACAGGATACATTTAATATTAACAAAATGTGTGAGTCTAGGTAAAAAATGTCATTTTACTGAAAACTATTAAAATGGATATATAGCGTTTTGGAAAAGAACTCCTCAAATATAGTTCCATCTTATCTTGTCTTAAACAAACTCCATCAGGGTTGTACGACTACTCGTCGACACAGGTGAGCTTAAAGCAGACTTGTTTTGGGAATGTTTAGTATTCTCATTTAGTCACTTGTTAGCATCCTCTGTATTTAGACACCGTTGACTTCAAGACTAGGGAATCCTAAGTGCTAACTCATAGCCAGCCTTACCTTGCCCAGTAGGAGAACTCGTAGTGGAAGGGGCCTGTCAGGTCGTCGGCCTTCTCTTGGATGGGGGGGCTGTCGTCCCTGGTCCCTCCCTCCTCCTCGGCGGCGCGGCGCTCTCTCTCCTGGCGCCGCAGCGTGATCTCCTGCAGCTGCTGCTCCAGCCGCTGCTCCTCCAGGCTGCGCAGGGGCCCCAGCACCAGGGCCGGCTCACTCTCAATAGACGATCTGAAAAGATGGAGAATAAAAAACATTTGTAAGAGGATGCGCAGCAGTAGCTTATATTAGCACACAGTGTAGCCATGCTGAGTCATTACTTGATAGTAACGGTGACGTCCAGGATCTTGTCGGTGGTGATGAGCCCGGTCATGTGATGGCGCACTGCAGTGAGGGTCAGGATGCTGGGGGCCGAGCTGTTGGACACAGGTTAACAACAGTCAATGTATTGTATTGCATAGAGGGAAAACACTGAAATAAATACATGGAAATCCTCTCCTTACTTACGTATCGTACGTGTAGAAGTCCTGCTCAAACTGATGGCAGGAGCGAGGGGTGACTTTGTAAACACCTGGAGAAACATGTTTAGTTGATTAATTACTTCAGTTTTTATTAATGCTGTCAAAATTATCACGTTAACGGAGGTAATTAATTTTTTGAATTAATTGCGTTCAAATATTTAACGCATGTGCAGAATGGCCCGCCCCATACATCCCACCAGTGGCAGCGCCAGGGTATGGCTGGGGTAGGCTACACCCATACCAAGAAATGGCTTAGCCCCACCATGAAAAATGATGTTAAAGTAAGCAAAATAAAGTCTGCCAACTCGCGCGGAGTAAATTGCACAGACAGCAGTTAGTAAGATTGATTTCAGTAGCCACTTGTCTGGAAATACCGAAGACCAGAAACGGTTTTGAAAACTTTTGTCACGTAGTGATCGTCTTCTCAATAGAACATGTTTGATAATGTCTTCTGGCCAATCAGAATCAAGATAACGGCGTGGTGTTGTTGCAGGAAGTCCCGACGGAGAATACTTTTGCTGTAGTACAGGTAACACATAACTGGTACGCAGGTTATGTGCGTAATCTGAAATGCGTACCGTCACTTGTGTCACAAAGCGCATTTGCGTACCGACGTACTTGTGAAGCTTTTCCAGAAGGCGGTTAGATCACCGGACGACAGAGTCGGTCTCCGTGTGCACAGACAGGGCTGCTGTTAACGTCGGTCTGTACAACGGAATTGTGCCAAAACTACACCAACCGGCTGCGGAGGGAGACTCTCCCCCCCTTCACTGGAGAACTGCGCTAAAACAGCTGATCACAACGTTCACACTCTGTGGTCACGAAGTACTCCACTAGCGCCCCCCCCCTCTGTCGACTTTCCTGAAGTACTCCCCCGTTGATAGAAATCAACACGTAATGAATTAAGACCCCACGGTTTGATGATTGATAGGTGTGTGGGCTGTCTTTCATTTTGACACACAATTTGTTTTAATAATAAACATACATATAGTATGTTAAATGGATATATCCGCCTTCTTTCATTTATCTTTCCATTCCCACAACAATATACATAAAGAAATGGCATATTTTGGACATAGTTCGAATGGTGATTAATCATGATTAATTAATTTTTAAGCTGTGATTAATCTGATTAAAAATTGTTTATCGTTTGACAGCCCTAGTTTTTATTAAGGTAAGCGTGACACAGACCCTTTTGGTTCCAAACACTTTACTCTAACGATACACAAGGGATATTTCTCCTTTCTAGATATGCCAATTCCTGCTATGTTAAAGTGGACCTATCATGCTATTTTTAGGCAATAGCATAGGTCTCAGATATATAAAAATATATAAAAAACAAATATATAAAAAACATAAGAAGTGTTCACAGATCACCCATTCTAGCCATGCCTCATATCCCTCCATTTCAAAAGTGCTGATTTTGGGTATAAAGTTTAAGAAAAAGTAAAAAAGGAGGGGGCTGAGCTCATGCGGGACCCGGCAGCCACTGTCAAACTAAATGCTGCCGTAATGAAACGCCATATCATGGATTATCAAGGATTCTCTCTGAAACAGTATGGAGCTCAAAGGCTTTCTCTCTTGCCGGTTATACCACAAGGTGAGTTCCTTTTCATTTCCTGCTTCTTCACACACATGCTCTCCAGTACAGGTTAGCTCTGAGTGTTAGCGATGCTAATGTGAACACCGACCATATTACGTCCAAAACAGTCGGGCATTGTTTCTGATAGCAACGTTTCTGATAGGGCCGTGGGTGTAAAGCCAGCCTACATTTCAGATATTACGTCATATCGGACGCAAATCTGGATCAGCTCCGTTGTAGCCCCGTTTTTAAAGATTTGGGTACGGAGGAAAAGAGAGAGGGTTTTATTTTCTGACGCTGCGTGAGTTCCCCGAGACACCGGGGACACATCTTTATGTATAAAAGACATCAAAAAGTGCATTTTGCATGATAGGTCCCCTTTAAGCTAATGAGCGGTCAGGGGAAAGAACCTCACCTGGCTTTGAGAGACAGAAGCGGTTGACTCCTTTAGAGAGGTTGTACACGCCGACGTTTTCGGGTTTGCTGCCATCTTGGAAGAACTCCTGTGCAGAAAAACAGATATAATTAGAATAATTGTGGAGGTGTCACCATCTGATACACACATCACGTACTGATTACTGACCAGAGTGATAGCATGGGAGAGGGAGCAGCGCAGGATGTAGCCAATCTGTCTGAACTCAACCCCCACTACGTCCGAGTCCAGCACCTCCACCTCCACGGACTTATGCTTCCAGCACCACTCCTCGTGAGTAATACTCACTGAAAGGAGGAGAACGAAAAATAATCAACACATAGAATAAAAGTAACAGAGAGACATGTTTGATGAAAGGATTTAAAGGTGCAAATCTGCTCCAAATAAATAGAGGCTTGCATTTAGCATTTTATATTTCCTGCTAGGCTATACATATGCTGAATTCAACTGCTAACGAAAGCTTCTACCAGAGCTACTCATTGATTGAAGTGACACAATATTTGTATTTCACATTAAAATAAACATAGAAATTATTTTACTTTCATCTTCTGCATGAATGAATGAGGGCTGCACAATATATGTAAAAAAAAAAAAAACTGACACGAGCACATTTGTTTGGTACAATATAATGAAATATGTAAAAATACTGAATCGAGTCCTGACCTTTGTATTTCCCTGGTAAAACGTCCTCAAAGGAGAAGCTGAGGATGTCGTTGCTGCCGGACAGAGCCACCGTCCGCCTCTCTCCCTGCCGACTCACTGGCTGCAGAGTCACAGAGAGGTCATCGCAGGACGCTACAGATCAACCAGGGGAGACAGGAGACGGGAAAATATGAACAAACAACCCCATAAATATTTAAGTGGGACGGGAGCCACTAAGACAAAGCCAGCACGTATAATAGAATTACAAATTCAGTGTATATTACCAAGCCTTTACCTAGACAGTAGACTTTCCCAGAGACAGAAGCCATGAACTGGGTGAAGAGTAGGTCTGTGAGGGGCCGGTCCACAAGGGAGACCTCCAGGGCCCGAGGCTGCAGAGCAAGCCCTGCCTTCACCTCCGCCTCGGGGAGAGACACCTGCAAGATAACAGAGTTACCATACTGCTACATAGGCACTGAAATCAATTATATCGCTAGGATACACCTCAAAAGACAAACATTAGATATCTTAGAATCAAGTGTTTGAGGTTAGCTTTGTGTCGATTTAGTCAGGGACTAGTTGCTGCGAGAGTCTTACATGGACACTGTAGTCTCCAGGTTTGGCCTGAAAGCAGAAGGCCCCTTGGGGGTCTGAGTCCACGGTCTTGCTCGAGGCTTTGTCTTGGCCCTGCTGAGTCAAGGTGACCTTGTAGCGGCCCTGCTGCTTCATGCCCTCAGGCAGGCGGCTGACGGAGATCTGGCCACACACACTGAACCTGTGGGAACAACATCAGAGGTCAGATCGAGCTAGGAAGAGCGCTGAAGCTGATATTTTTGATATTTCAGAACATGTGTAGTGTAGCTATTTAACATCATTGTTTACAGCGGACAGGCCATGCGTACCCTGCAGTGATGATGTCAGGAAGCTGGGGTGTGTTGGGGGCGATCTTCACTGTGATTGGCTCGAAGAACATGAGCTCCTTGGTGACACGGATGGTGTAGGTACCAGCCGTCATGTTCTCCAGGCGGAAAGAGCCTTCCTCCTTGCTGAGGACTGAGGGACACAAGAGCGAAAGACGTAAAGTGAGAACAACGAAATGCACAAATGGAGCACTTCCACAGTTGGATGTTTTATTTATTTCTTTTTGGGAGTTTCTTTGTTTACCTTTGATCTGGTTGTTGAGGGACACAGTGGCATCAGGGACGCCCTCCCCCCCATCACTGTTGAGAACTCGGCCCGTCACAGAGAAGCCCATGACCCGGAAGATTGGCTGCAACAGAAACAGTAAGGCATAAAACATATTCATACTCACAAGATAATGACGGTTATATCTATATGTAGATATATTTTCACTCTTTACCTCCAGTTTCAAACTGTTGTGTTCCACTTTGAAATTCATCCTGGAAGGAGCGACATCAAACGTGATCCTTTCTCCTCTGTAGAAGGGCACCTTAAAAATATGATTTGCAGAATTTAGAAGCAGAAATCAGAGAAAGGCATTACCATTTCCAATACAGTTTGCAATGTCCTGAAATAAACCCCAATAATGATACTCTTTATGGTGGCCCTTTATGTATTGCATAATATGTATTATAAATAAAGTGATTCACTTTCCATTATGTAGTTTTAGTAGTTTCACAGCCCTTCAAAATTCTCAGTGGGTGTGTTCAAGTGCACTGTAACATTTCTGACAGAGTAGCTGCAAAAAAGGTTTGTTGTAGTATTAACAGTACTTGTCGGAGTGAAATCATGTAGGGGACATACGTACAAACGTATTTATTTTCAGTGCTTGTAAAACAAGACAACAGTTATTTTCACTGAGCTGCCTAAGTCGAAAAGCCATTCAGGTCTGGCTCTTCTCCTATGTCTACATTTTGAATACCTCTAAAGAGGCAAACCTTAACGCTAAATTTTAAGGAGGACCTCAGTTTAAAAAAAAAGAAAAGGCCCTGATACAGAGGTAATGACTTATATCCAACAATTGTAGTAATTTAAAAAACGTTTTAACCTTATAAAAATGTATTAGAGACATATTAGGCCTTTTTCACAAAGCTCACCACGGTGTACTCGCCGCTGGCCAGCGAGAGGAAGACGAAGGTTCCATCTTCCCTGGAGAGAGCGCTGCACAGGTAGAGCAGCGAGCTGTCCCCAGGATCTGCCCCCTCCACTGGGGATGTGTTACAGCCGCCGACGTCCTGAAATCACACATAGATATGATGCAATCTTACCTCGTTGTGCCGTTTTAAATCCAACCAAAACGTCCATAACATTCCAGAGTCACAGCTGCTCACTGTTTAAAAATGTGAAATGGTTTACCTCTTTCTTGACTGTGGCCGAGTACAGGAGGAAGGTGACCTCTTTCATGGGCTCTCCATCACTGCGGACCTCCCCCGAGACGTCGTAGCCTCCAACCACCAGATTCTCGGCAGCGGGGGCGTTGGCATTGGAGACCACCACTGAGGTGGCGCTCTGTTCAAATAAAACAAATACAAAAATCAGCATGAGAGTTACAGTAAGGGTCTGAATAATGGCGACTACGGCTGTGCGTGTGCGTCATTAGTTATAAACCTGCTGCACTGACAGGGAACCTAATCTGCTGAGCAAAAGGTGATTAATGAAGTATTACATACAGAACTAAAGAGAGCTGATGTGTTCTTCACTGGGAAGGGCCCTACTTTGGTACCCAGTGGCGTTTTAGCACAGTATTTGTCTATTTCCTAAGATGTTATTACTGATGTTTATGGAGTGGCTACATGCTAGCATAGCCATGATCTTTCTGAACTTTAGTCAGACAACAAGAATTTGTAAAGGTTTCATACACTTCCTCAAATCCGCTTGTTATCGTACAGATCTGAATACATCAATTCAAGACTTTTTTTTTAATGTTATTTTGGAATCCTTTTGATCCATTATTTTCGGACAATGACAGGAGGAGGACTTTGTGCCCGATTTATTTTTGCAGACATTTGTCTTTTCATATAGCCAAAATCTGATGCAAGTTGCACAAGGAAAATATTGTAATAAACATATTTGAGTCCAAAAAGCTACTTTAACTTCTTCTGAATTATATGATCATACAATATTAGAGGTTTATGGGGAAGTTGGCTAGCCTATCACTCCACAAATCTACTGCATTGACCATCATTTTGACTGTCTGTGTCGAGTAAATTAAGAACATATGAATTCAAAAGCTTCTAAAAATTGCCATGGGAGACATCACACATGACACATTTGTGTTCTATTCAGTCCATGCTGTTAATAGGGCCATATGAAATCTGAAGTGAGTGTACAAACCTGCTCCAGAGTCCAAGAAGGATGGGAAGCCGTGATGTCATAATTTCCAGGGAGTACTTTTAAAAAGGTGTACCTGGGTAAGGAAGGAAACAAAATGAAATGGCAAACAATGTAAGAGGGATCAGTTTAGTGATATGAAAATAAAAAATAAAACATAAAAAGGTGAGAGTACTTACTTTCCTCCAGGCTTTGTGATGACGCTCTGGAGTTTCTCCTCTGTTCCCACTCGGGTGAGTTTCACTTCTACTCCAGCAGGACCCAGGGGATGGCCTTTACTGAGAACCTGAAGAGAGAGATGCTTTATGCTCTGAATTCATTCCTACAACTGATAATACTCACAAAAAAAACCTGGTTAATTGATTTTCAACTTGTTATTTATGGTGGCTTCTTTGTGCATATTTATGAAAGGAAGGTGGGCTTAGCAATTGATCGAATTTCGATTAGCGTTAAGACTTCCAGCATTATACAGAGACAAGATAATCGACATGAAGTGATCAGTGTGCGCATTCCGTTGTGCAATGAAGCTATCATTTTGTCTTGTGTTATTATTAATCCAGCGCACCTCTTTCCTTTACAGAGGCTTCTCTTAGAAAGAGGGTCTGAATCAATGTGTTTATGATGTAATTGTTGAAACTCTTCATACATCTGGGCTCTTGATTTACCCTCAAAGTGCACCAGATTGTTGCTTCTATTTGTAAAATGTTTATTTTTTAAATGCATGTTTTGTGTAAAAACAAGATCTCCAAACTGTACAAAAATAACTGAGATTAGCAAATTGCAACAAAAAAAAAAGCAGTGCAGCCAGCCATGCAGAACTAAACAAAGAGTGTTGGATGTGTGAGGGGCTAATTCCAAGCACTTCTATAATTGTTCTTAAACACCAGTCAGAATTGTAGGTGTTAACCTTTATTTTCATGCAGATAAGCTTTCATAGTCAAGAGAAAATTATTCTGATATACAGACAGGAAATCCTTCAACATGCTCACCGTTCCTGAGACCGAGAAGCCAGTGAAGACAAAGTTGATGTCTTCCTCTTTTGTACAAATGTCACTCACTCCATCCACATGGAGGTCGACACTGGTGGGCTCTGGTGAGAGTTAAAACCCAAGAAGAAAAGTTAATAATGGACAAAAATACATTGAAATGAGAAAATAAATATTGCAAAGAATCTAGACATTTCCTGGAGTACAAATACATGAATAATATGTTTCGAGCTGTGAGTTTACCGAAGCTCCATCCAAGAGGAGGCTCGATCTTTAAAACAAAGTCCCCCTATGTGAAAGAAACAAGTGTAAAGATTATAATTATCATTGGTAAATAAAATACATAAAATGCTCAAATGTAATGAATATCCTACCTTGTCATACAGGGGGATCATAAAGTAGCCATTGATTGGAGCACAGTCCGTTTGATATTTCAGGGATCCTTGTTTGGTGTACAGTTTAATCTGTGTATGAAAGAAGACATCATTAAATAGTCTAGTATATTTTAACAAATAAATGCCTTAAATACAACTTCGAATGGGAAATTGGTTAATTCATTTGTATCAGCTGTCATTCGCAAACAGACCAGCATATCTGGGATTAAATTAATTTCACCAATTAGGCGAATGGCTAATCCAATGGAGCCTGTTAATGAGCAGGGATTAGGAATAGTGGCTAGCAACTCCTTGTGCACAGACAAACAGGTATTTTTAAAGTTTATGAGTGAGAATTTTAACACAAATAAACTGTAATAGGGCTAATGTATCAATGCTAACATAGTTTTGCAGTCAACCGCAACTGCGTAGAGAAAACATCCGAATTAGCAGACCAGCATAGCTGCCAAAATGAAAATGTTCCCTTTAATTTATTTTAGTAAGCAACAGAGATACAACTTTTACAAAAAGTAGATTGAAGTTGTGTTCATTTCATACATTCAAACACATCTCTGGTTCCGCCTAACCTTTAGCCTACTACGATAAACCAGCTAACGGTTAGCTAGCCGCTAGGTAGCTACTATCGGAAGGCTTGCACTCTCACCTCGATCAGAGAGTAATTGATCTCCACATCGGATTTCACAAATCCCCCGCATGCCACCACTATGTCATCAGAAGAAACTGTCAAAAACTGGGAATAGGTGATACATAATAACACCCAAATGGCTCCCACGTCTGCCCGGATCGTAATTCTCAACATTTTCGGCTAACTGATCTCTCGATGAACCAACCAACCAAGCAACAGCACGCTGCCTCCGGTTCCGTACCAGCTGAGCTGCTGTCAGAGGCGGAGCGCAGCGCCCCGAGCAGCGGCCTCTGTTGGCCGGAGATTGTATAACAGGCCAAAGAAAGAAAAGTACAGGGCACAGAAGAAAAAAAGCCAGTGGAACACGAAGATTATTTCACATCATTTTAAATGTATTTATTTTCCAGTCACCACAGTCATATACAAATGCTTCATAATAAAGAAAAACAGTACTTATTCCAAAGATATAAACCTTATTTTTATTTTTAGTAATATAGTACCGACACCCATCATCCAAAATATGTTATAAAACTAATTCACAGTTTCGAGTGACCTTTTTTGTTAGATGAAGATTTACTCAAAACCAATGACAGCGATAATTATGCAAGTAAAACATATGTTTGTCTTAGAATAGTGTTTATCACAGCCCTTGGGTAAACTTAACTTTAATCCATTAATTTGTATATTTCAAGATACAAGATTTAGTTGAAGTATCTTGAAATAAAAATATATAGTATATATATATATATATATATGCTCCTTTGGTACTTCAATGTATATATTTTTGCTTGTTTGTTTTGTTGCTATATATATATATATAATTTAAAAAGAAAAATGTGACAGTAATGGTAAAATGAACATGATTAGTTTGAAATGTAGTCGTTTTTTGCATTAATATACAATCATTATTGATGGTAAACAGTAGATGATGACAGACGATGCCCACACTGTTTTGTAAACACACAAATTATAAAAAAGTAAGAAAACAGTAGTGTTAATACATTTAAAGTGCATACATTTCAGAAAGGTTGTTACAAACTCCAGTGGTTATAATAATGCAAGTCCTTCTCAGAAGGAAGAAATGACAGTACATACAACAGATTAAAAACACCACAAATCATATTGTTTTAAAAATACTTGAACATTGCATCCTCTTAAGGGTTTTATAATAATCAGATTATCAACGAAAGAACACACAAAAGCACACTACATTAATGTAAGCAGGTCCAGAGAAGCTCCGAAGTAGTGTTTTCATAATAAAAAATAGAAGATATTAATTCAGTTTTCAAATCCAGTCGGTCCAGTCTTGTTCTTTTTGGTCTGTATAAGCAGGTAGTGCGTCACACATGTGTGGAGGAGTCAGGAGGTGAGTGTGCCAGGAACACACTTTCATTGAAATTGTTGGAGAAGCTGGTGTGATAGCTGGGGCTGCGGGGCTGGGATTTGGACCCCGGGGATTTGATAGCCGAGAGCCTCTGGGCCTGGCACAGCTTTTGGATCAGGAAACGTTTGTCACGGCCCTCCTGGGATACAAAATGACACAGTTAGTAGGTCCAATTATGGTTATTATTCAAATTACAAACGGCGAGATAGAATAAACCAGAATGGTGAAATAGAATTAGAAAATGTATTTTGCAGAAAACCTACCACTACCAGCTGCTCCCTTAGTTGGTTAATAACTCTCTTGTGAGCTCCAGCTAGTGCAATCACATAAAACATGATCAAACTGTTGGGGGAAAACAGGAAGTTGATTAAACTTCAACCAGAAAGAGTAAAGAACACTTGTTACAACTGTTCAAATGCTGATGGAAACACGCACCATGTGACAACAAAGAAGGAGACAGCGAAGGCCTCTGATGAGAGAGCGAAGAGGAGGGTTTTGATTCCATGGGGTAGCTCGGATACTGTATTTGGCAGCACCTCCCAGGAGGTGGTGTAATTAACGAATGGTCCACAGGCCTGGGAAGAGTTTATTCTGTGCAACAAGGGAAGGGTGAATGAGGATGTATGCCAAACAAAATGGATGCAGCAATGAGCTGTGCTACCATTCTTTAGGTCAGTAAAATGCAGAAGAGATTAATGACAAATATCATGTCAACATGATTACATTTAAATGCACAAGTATACAAGAGAGAAGAATAGACATGATATAACGAAACAGACTGAAAGTGTGCTCTCAAATGTAATACAACAGTTATGTTTCAGAATTTCAGACACTTAAAAAAAAAAAAACGCCACTTTCAATGCTTAGTCATCAGTGGCCTAAATGACCATGTGACAGGCTGCTGAAAAGCAATGTAAAAGGATGTTTTTTTAAACGACGGCTCTGCAATACGGAGAAAATCTAATATTAGTATATTTCTGATCGGATACCCCAATATCGATAATGCAACGGTATTGCAGGGATGACCATTCGTTCTTTCAAAAAACATTTAGATTATAAGAGTTTTAAAAAATATTCATTAGTAACATGAATATAATGGGTAAAAGCAAATAATTGAACAGTCCGTAAAGTTCAGAAAATGACCTCACTTTACTGTAGCCATTATAACCTGGAAAAGTCACATATCTACGGAGCCCTGGAGGGTTCATAGAGAGAAAAATAAATAAAACGAGGCCACGTTTTATTTATTTGTGTGCACGAGATGTAATTCGTGGCCTCAATTTAAATAAAACAAGGCCACGTTTTAATTATTCCCACAAGATACTTTCTTATGGTTAGACACATCGAACTGCCCGATTACTACGCCATATTATTAGATGTCCGGTCGCCAGGGCGTGCGCGTGTGTGTGTGTGTGTGTGTGTGTGTGTGTGTGTGTGTGTGTGTGTGTGCATTTGTTTTAAGAAGATATTATGATAGTGGCGTTCGTTCCGGTGCACTCCGACAGCATTTAGCACTAGCCTACATTGAGATTAGGTTAAATGAACTTCTTTCACTTGGGAATACACATATGGAGTTAGCCAGATGTGTGTAAATTACTGTTCATGGTAATTTGAAAACATATGCCGGTGTCGGACACACACATACACCGAACACACACAGAGCTGAGCTGAGTAGAGCACAAACACACATCATGTAGCATTTCACGTTTCCATAGCAACAACAACTTCCTGTCAACAGCGTAAACTCTCCTTCAAAATAAAAGCATCTAAATAAAAGAGGAAGTTAACCTAAATTACATTGAAGACATATACAACTGCAACGAAAGTAACAAAAACAATGTAATATCCTTTTCAGTTTCACAAAACACAAATTGGGTTATTTACACATCATGCACCCTGGTGACCGGATATCTCCTTCATAAAACGAGTAATAAGGGGAATAATCGGGCAGTTTGATGTGTGTAGAGGTGTGTGTGTGTGTGTGTGTGTGTGTGCGTGTGTGTGGCTAAAACGTAGCAGCCTCGATCTCTATTCAGCTGTTCTAATGAAGGTAAACACAGTGAAGGCGCTGCCTAAAAGACACAGCTCTCTGCGCGCAGATAGCAGATACTGTGAGAGTCACGGACATGAATTCATAGATCAAGGCAGACTGGTTCACAGACTCTCCTGTTTTGAGAATCTGGTGCTTAAACATATAGCTCTACACCTCTGGTCGAAATGTCCCTAAAATGAAGTCGAAGTTTGAAATATATCTCAAATAATGTATGCACTGCCATTTCCCCACATAAACATAACAGTCTGCAATGAAACGGTTGCCTCCTGCGCGCTCCACTTCCTACTTGGCGCAGCGGTTACTTTCTCGTGCGAACGAGAAAGTTAAAAAAAGTATCTCGTGCGCACGAGAAAGTATATCGTTTCAATTGAGGCCACGAATTACATCTTGTGAGCACAAATTAATAAAACGTGGCCTTGTTTTATTTATTTTTCTCTCTATGAACCCTCCAGGGCTCCGTACATAGCTAATATTACAGTATTTAAAATATCACAGTCCAGCATATTGCCCACTTCACATCAAAATGCACCAGGGATTACACCAGAGCTAAACAGATTCACCAATCGGTTTAACCGAATATTTTTTGGTCTAGCTCAGTAAATCACACTAAAACACAGAATCTGTTGTTCACTACCAAGGTTTTCTGTGTAACAGCATTAGCTTCCCTTCCCCTGTCTCTCCTCTGCTCGGCGTGGAGAGGGCCCACAGTTGGTGAAACAGGAGAGCAGAGGACATTAATGATCGATGCAGCAGCGATACATCTGAAGTTGATACACTGGTCAATAACAATGCATTACTCACTGTGCGACACTGAAAGAGACAGGCAGGCAGGCCAGAGCCAGGCCTATCAGCAGCACCACCAGGAAGAAGAAGTTGGAGCTGGAGGCTCGGAACGGACGTGTGGCTGGACGGCAGTTGTTCATCAAAGACACCTTCAAACAGGAATCAGAAATGTCAGAAAACAATGGAAACTTCTAGAACTTCTGAATATGATCCATGGAATAAAGTAAGAAATATCACCTTTTTAATATAGAAGATAAAGAAGTATTTCATCGTGCAGATGGCAGGCAGCATCGGGCTGTAGAACGTGCCGATCCAGCAGATGGTCTGACCGTAGACGATCTCCAGCACGTTCTGAGGGATGGCAAACTCCTGCTGGCCAAACCACTTCGCCAGGCCGCAGTCACAGTGCTGCACTATCAGCCTGGGTAGCACAGGGCAACACATGGACAACGGGTTCAAAATTACTAAAGAAGAAAGGATGACAATGACTTCAACGTAAAAGTGTTCAAGACATTTGGAGGCCAAAGAATAAAATACACATATATTGTGCCAGCTGTGCAAAGAAGACAACGTGGAAACAGAGTTGCACTGTTTGACAGAATGCACAAAACTCCAACCAATCCGGACACAATATTTCTCCAAATTTAAAAACAAACATCCTGAATTTCACCACATGACAAACAATCCAACAAATTCCAATCCTGTTAGGAAAGCTCAAAGAGAGCTGTCTGGCAGCAGAATATTGATTTACTTGCTACAAGGTCTTTGCACGTTATTGTTGGCATGTACAGTTTGTTTTGTGTTTTGCTGTTGTACCACATTTATTGTTGGCATGTGTGTTTAGTGTTTGTTTTTGTTCTGTTATAACGCCTTGTGCTGAATGCTTTGGCAATGCTATTTGTAATATGTGGTCATGCCAATAAAGCCACTTTGTATTGTATTGTGTCAACAAAACTAGAATAAGGCAAGTTGATTTATATAGCACCTTTCAACACAAGGCAATTCAAAGTGCTTTACAAAAAATGAAAGACATTAAGAAAATGGCATTTAAA